ACTGATACTATACTATTAAAACTACTACTAATACTACCTGTAATACTATTTGTACTACTACTACCACTACTATGACTGGTATTACTACTACTACTACTACTGCTACTACTATAACTGCTACCTCTACTACCACTGCTAGTAGTAGTACTACTACATCTACTAATACTACTACTAACTCTACTACTAAAACTACTATTCCTACTTCTACCTATACTACTACTACTACTACTACTACTATTACTATTAATACTATTATGAATACTATTACTACTAATACTGCTATTACTATTAATACTATTATGAATACTATTACTACTACTACTACTACTAGTAGTAGTAGTGCTAAGCCTACAACTAATACTCCTACCTCTACTACTACTTCTACCTATACTACTGCTACCTTTACTATCATTAGTACTACTACCTCTACCACTGCTATTACTGCTTTAACTACTACTACCTCTACTAATACTACTACTACTACTATCACTGATACTCCTACCTGTTGTACTATTACTTCTATTACTACTGCTACTGCTAATACTACTAGTACTTCGACTAATTCTACTACTAATACTTCTACCTATACTACTGCTACCTCTACTGTTATTAGTACTACTACCTATACTACTACTATTACTACTATTACCTCAACTACTACGGTTACTACTATAACTACTATTACTATTACTACTACTACTGCTTCTACTAATACTACTACCTCTACCACTGTTATTGTTACTACTTTAATACTAGCTCTACTAATACTACTGCCTCTACTACCTCTACTACTACTACTACTTTTACTAATTCTACTACTACTACTTCTACCTATTCTACTGCTACCTCTACTGTTATAAGTACTACCACCTATACTACTACTACTACTACTACTACTATTACTACTATTAATACTATTAACTGTACTACTACTATTACTACTATTACTATTATTACTACTGCTGCTTCTACTAATACTACTACCTCTACCACTGCTATTACTACTGCTTTAACTACTACTATCTCTATTACTACTACTACTATTACTACTATCATGACTACTACTACTATATCTTCTACTACTACTACTACTACTACTACATCTACTACTACATCTACTACTTCCACTACAACAACTACTACTACTACTACTACCACTACAACTGCTGATTATACTACTAGTAGTAATACTACTAGTACTACTAGTACTACTAGTACTACTACCACTACTATGACTGGTATTACTACTACTACTACTATTACTACTACCTCTACTACCACTGCTAGTAGTAGTACTACTACTACATCTACTAATACTATTACTACAAAAACTACTCCTACTTCAACTACTCCTACTTCTACCTATACTACTACTACTACCACTACTATTACTACTATTTTACTACTATCACTACTACTAATGCTACTATTGCTGCTATTAAAATACTACTACTACTTATACTACTACTACTGCTACTATTACTAGTGCCAAGCATACAACTAATACTCATTCCTCCACTACTATTTGTCATTCCACTACTACTACTACTACTACTACTACTACTACTACCTTTAGTACTATTACTTATATTACTACTGCTACTACTTCTACCTATATTACTAGTACCTCTACTATCATTAGTGTTACTACCTCTACCACTAATACTTCTACTACTACTAGTACTACTACTCTACTACCTCTACCACTGCTATTACTTCTACTATCACTGCTACCCCTACCTGTAGTACTATTACTTCTATAACTACTGCTACTACTACTACTTTTACTAATTCTACTAATTCTACTACTACTTCTACCTATACTACTGCTACCTCTACTATTATTAGTACTACTACCTCTACTACTACTATTACTACTATTATTATTACTACTTCTGCTGCTTATACTAATACCTCTATCACTGCTATTACTACTATTATTAGTACTACTACCTGTAATACTACTATTATTACTACTGCTATACTACTAATACTAGTAGTAATACTACTACAATTACTGTTAATAATACTACTATTACAACTACTACTTCTACTGTTAATGATAGTAGCAATAGTAATAATATAAAACGAAATTTAGCCTTATATCAGGCCCCCAAGCTCCGCCATTTTGTCCGGATCCATTAGAAGCCAAAATAAGCTACCTTGCATAATTCATGAGCCTTATGAATTATGCATTCTGTAGGATGCTCCCCACGAAAAGTGTACTGGAATGATGTTCACTACATGGTAAAAGACAATACGCGTATCAGCGTAATTAGAGAGGTCAAATAATCTACTGTACGGAATTATGGGTAATTTATTCATCACGCTGCGCGCTAGCAACGCAAAGTGATTCAGCGAATCAGCGTGGAATATTCTGATGCGATCACCGTTAGGTGAAATACGCGCTCGAACTTGTATTATCGATCACCAGTATAACAGCTGGTGTACCCAGGATGCATCGGGAAGTGGACCTTAAAGTTCCACTCGTTGTTGTGTTTTTTTTTTTTTTTAAGGTTTTAATGGCGTGTATAATTCATTTCTGAATATTTACGCCAACTAAGTAGCCTTTGAAAACATCATTACACCTCTACTTATTATTATTCCAGCATAAATTTTTCTGAAAATCTCTTTATTGTCCAAAAAAATAATAATAACCATCCAGTTTCACAGATCTCAGGCTTGCTAAGCTCCACCCCTCATACCCAGGATGCATCGCGATATGGGGGAGTGGCCTTAACTTCATTGAATAAGAAATACTGATATTCTTAATGTCTCGATCTTATTCCCTTTTTAGTCTATCAATAACTGGGTCTGTTTTTGTTTTATTAAATAAAACATGCTATAAGCCATATAACAACACATTCTCTGGCTATGATTATACATTTTAAATATACTAATGTATAAAGTTTCCTTATTTTAGACAAACAAATTATGTGGCACAGTGGATGGTTTTTCTCCACCCACTCTCATCGTACCTTAAGGATTCCCTTTCTCTCTCTTTCTCTGGCTTTCGAAAATTATCTTCTGCAACTAACGGTTTGTTGTCTTGACTGCAGGCACGTAGCCAGACTTTGATGTTTGGGGGGGGGGGGGGGCACATACATGTAATCGATCGAGGTAAAAAAAAAGGGGTCTAAAAAAGTTCAACCGATCGTGGAATTTTCTTCTTTTTTTGGCCCCCCCCTCCCCCCCCCCCCCCCCCCCCCCCCCCGTGGCTACGTGCCTGCTTGACTGAACAACCTGTTGCAGTTCCATTCTGTCTCACTTTCAGTCGTAGTTGTTATTACCACTCATTTACGTTTACTCGTTATCAACTACGATCAACCATTCCATATTCACTCCATTACTGTCCACATTTCACTTGGATTAACTTCACTTTTCCTTTTTGCAGCCTTTGCAGGAGCTTTGAACATGTTTAATGTAGAGACCAGAGAGATCGGAAAATATGTTAATCATTTTATTCAAATTTTCTAACTTGAAAACGGAAAGTGAAACATTGTTTTTCAACATCTTGACATAATTTTTGTTTAAAGGCAATGGAATTTAACGCTGGAAATTTTGAATTGGGTTGCCCCCCTCCCCCCCCCCCCAAAAAAAATAAAAAAACAACAACAACAACAACAACAACAACAACCCAGAAGTGGTTTGTTAGTTAGGAGGCCCATGTCCTTTATAATTTTATTTTTAAGAATAGTTTTCTCTTTTTGTATTAATTTTACATTGGTATACCATTAATTTCACTGGGAAAACCACCCCATTCCCTTACACATCAATACTGCCATTACTTCTAGCAACAGTAATTCTATAATTCAAAACGTTTTCATTTTCTAAATCCTTCTAATATAAACATATAACAAATATAATATTGTTTACACTTTTGCAACCTGTTACATGGTCCATGTAGAAACAGCACCAGGAAGAGGATAACAAGCCCCCCCCCCCCGTTTTCTTAAGCTAGGAAGTATCAAAACATGATTCTATTAAAATTAGCAGTTTGGATACAAAAGGCAATGATGATTAGCAGTTTCCATATTTAGTGCATTTAGAGGGTTGTCTTTCAAACCTTCTTACATACAATACTTGAAGCAGCAATGATGTAATAATCTACAAAACTTCAAATACAGAAGTCCATAGACTGAGGTAAATGAATTTCAACATGTATAATTATAATTAAAATATCATTGATCAATTCAATCTCTGATATAGACTGATAGATCTTTATCACTCAAATTTCAAGGAAATTTCTTTCTGCCCAGCCCTCAGTTTCATCATATAAGATGGTAGTTGACATTGTTAAAATGTTAATGTTTATTCATTGATGATTAGTTATCTTTAAATATTTGAAAGTTGACAAGATAATAAATTTATTAGCTTTTTCTAAATGTGGTATTCTACAAATATATAATACAAATAATAAATAAATAGTATGTAAATATTCAAGTTTAAACCCATCTCTAATGTCCTCTTTCATTATATGAGGGTTGCATCTTTAAGACGTAGTCCCATGAAGATGTCTTCTGAATTCATTGATGAAGTTGTAGGCTAGTTTTCAGAAGAAAGGGCTGTGATGATAACCCAAGTCTGTTGAATGGAAAAATGAAATAAGATACAGTGTATAAGAAAATAAACAACAACTAATAACATACACCCTGATACCTGCTCTGACAAAAAGAGGAAGGACTAATATTCACTTGGGATTCTAGTGGGCAAACCTAAACTATTTTACCTACAAGACTAGTTACTGACCACATGTTAGATTATTTCTGATGATCCCATTAAGACGATAGGCCTGCTGGAGCTTGGATCAGACAAGGTATGAAATAAGTAATACGTGTACAATGTACTTGTATTGTGAACTTGTGCTCAAAATTGAATAATACTCGGTTAAGTATGGGACATAAAATGACCACACAACTTGGACCAGAGAATGTACTGGAAATAATGATATTAAAACATACGTAATGTAGACTTATATTTCATCGATATCAACATTTTATTTTAAATCTAAATCACAATTGTGATATTCAGTCAAGTATTCTTTTACAAGTAACGGACAATGAAAAATATGTTTTTCAGATCTATAACTTTCTGCATGATATGTGTTCTACAATAGGTTATTGGGGGTACCTACATTGTATATTAGCACACTTGCTCGTATGAAGTGTAGTAGGCCCGCATCTCTAGATATGCTTCTGTCAATATCTGTTCTTTGTTCCTCTCCTGGGTTTGTAATCAGCATGCCTTCATCATCCACTGTAGAGAAGCATCATCCTGCATAAGAGAAAACAATGTAGGTACTTCAATTAAAAGTGATAATAATAGATACATATCAACCATAATACATCCTATAAACAGACTTTCATTAATCTTATGTTGTGTTCTTCTTCATCTTCATTGCTCAAGAAAAGTAATGAGGGGTCCTGTGTATACCCTACATGTATGATCATTATTATTATTATGTAGTGCTTTGAATGTGCATTAGACATCGTTCTGTACACACAGGACCTCCTGTAAATAAGGACAAATCCCTTTGTAAACAAAGAAAGGGAAGAACTAGAATAAAATATCCCTTCCACTATATACACTTGCAACATAAACTTAGTTCCATTTCCTTTTTAGTGAATTGATAGGTGGTCGTTAATATTTGTGTACTAAATATCCTGAAAATTTTACCTGCAATGGGACTTTCAGCTTCATCTTGCAAATATAAGAAATGTTGTAATGTCTACTCATCAGTTAACTCCTTCCAGCTCTTCATTAGTTTCAATCTGTTGAAACAAAAAGAAAACAAAATCAATATAGATCTAGCATAAAAGCTATTTTTCATGTCATGGTTGGCCTTAATTTTAATATGGTGTGAAAATCAACATTCCAATTTAATGGACCACAGTACAAAGTAAAATTAAATGGAAGATTTAACTTGTGCCTCAAAAGTGCTTTATATGGCCTATAAATATAAAGTAGTCTTAAGTAGAATTGGTTTATTAAGACAAGAAGAAGTGGACTACATAAGTAAACATAATTGTGGACTAGGGGGTCTTCTCTTACACAAACAGATTTATCAACATGAACTGCACGATTTGGAGAAGAAAGAAATCTCTAATATATTAAAAGTAATAATAATAGGGGTCAGGCACTTACGCAGGGGGGGGGGGGGTGTTAGACCTCCCCCTTGAGTTTTTTTTTTAGGTAGACCTAGACCTCTATATGTTTTTCTGGAACCCCCCCCCTTTTTTAGTGTTGATTTAAAAAAAATCAAAAAAAATCCTAATGGATGACCTCAAAAAAATGTCCTCTTCCCCCCCCCCCCCCCCCCCCTCCCCGCTTAATCAGCGGCTGGCTGAGTCGTTGCGAAATTTTTGGCCCGATTTCAAAATGTTAAACCCCCCACCCCCCCCCCCCCCCTTGATAGGGATCTAGAAGATCTAGATCTAGTACTAGTAGATCTACTAGACTCTAGGGACTAGGCTCTAGTAGTAACTGTTAGATCTATACTAGAGACGAGTAATGACAACTTGACAAGCACACTGAACCCACACAAAATCTAAATAAACAAATCCTAGTGTTGATGTTTTTTGAATATTTTTTATTAATAAGTTCCAGGTTTACATCTAAATTAAATAGGATTTGGAGTTGTTTGATTATCAATGGTCACAGATAATTTTGGTATAGAAATAAAGTTGACACGCACCGCGTATGAACTATGATGCAACTGAGCGAACGGGATGGCACTGATATTTAGTAAAGCCATCCGAGTCCACATCTAAGTTAGTGTCTAGGTCTAGATCTACTAAAGATTTTAACAAGAATTAATCCACTTGGATTATCAAAAAAATCATGCTTCGTAGATTATTTTAAGGTGAAACGTTAAATCTAGATTTAAATTAAATCGATGATTGGTGAATTAGATTCATGATGACGATCAAATCTGAAATAAAACTTGATTAGAAAGTTTGATCTTGATGCAAAATGAGCACCGAAATTCCCCGGGGTGGGCCTGCCGGAACGGCCGGGCCCCTAACTGGAGTACTAGGGTGAAATGACGGCAAACCGCAGTCAAACTACTTCATGACGATAAAAATCAAAGTTCAATTTCAAGAGCAATAATTTCCTAGTCTTTTCCCCAAAAATCTGTTGAGAACGGTCTCACAATGTCACGAAATTACCGTAGATCACAAAGACTATTGCAGCTTTTTCAAAATTGATGACTAAATTCACTTAATCTACTCATATTTAAATCAATTACTCACCCATTCTCAATGAACTAAATCTTCTCAGTTTGTGCGAGTAGCCTGCGTCGTGCATAAATCTGCATAATAAAAGTGACGCAATGAGGTCAAATATATTATCCGGTTTCTTAAACGATACTATCGATAAAATACATATTCATGAGGCTCATATCCAATCAAAGAGCCGCCTCGGTGGCTTATTTTGTCTTCAAATGATCCAAAAGAGGCGGAGCCTAATCCCATTCATCTGCATGGTTTCCGCGCGTGCTGCTTTCCGTCTAGTAATTATATTTAAACGTCTTTGCCTTATATAATATCAAACCATATTTCGCTCATACTAACAGGGGAGAGACATCTATCGTCTTGACGAAAATCCCGACTGGTACGTCAACCCCCGCAGTTACTGTCAAGATTGGTACCTGGATGATCTCTCTAAGACATCATATGAATGGGCGGCAGAGCCATGTCCTTGCACCAGCTGGCAGGCCTGGATCGATCAAAGGTTTACTCGATGCAGCTATCCCTCCTACAGATATGGTTACGGCTACGGGTACAACTATGGCTACGGCGATGGGCTTCCGAACTATTACTATGGTGAGCAGCATTGTTTTGATGTCACTTCATGATGATAATAACGGCCCCTGTAATTATTATTACACCAGCATTACCAGGTATACCCTTTGACACATGTGTCGAGAGGGACAAATGTGGGTTAAACACCTTGTACACGGATGTAAACACCACACAATGAAGGATAGAAAACCGGGATCTCTTGTATAGCTCTCAATAGCTTTCACCAATATACCATAGTGATCCCACTTTTCATTTTTTTTATTTTTGCAACCAGTATTTTCTTTTTACCTTTTACAAAACCCTTTGATATAGATTTTATCCTGAGGAATGGCTTGCAGGAAAGATTCTGTTTTCTCTTGGGAGATGCATACGAATAAAATAATAATAAGAATAGATAAATACTCCGCGTTTATAGTGCTTAATACATCGACGATGTCGCTAAGCCCTTGGCAGGTATATTATTACACCAGTCATCGAATACATGCTTGCCCGCACACAATGTATGCACATTCTCCGCTCCCTGGGGAGCATTCCAGCCATGCGCCATTTTACAGACGCTCACAATGCTATACTATACTATTAGTGACCCAGTAGAGGCTTGCTCAGTGTTTCTGTCTCTTTTATTAACGGCCATTGATAAACACGCGCCACTCCGGAGAACACGAGTTAAACTTAAATATTCTCCATGGATGACGCCCGATATTTTACAATTGATTCGCACTAGAGATCGCTTAAAGAATAAAGCGAAGAAATCAAAGAAGGATGATGACTGGGCCAAATATAAAAAAGCCAGAACTAATGTAACAACACAAATTCGACAAGAGAAGCGAAGTTTTGTCTCGAGAAATATTGAATCTGCTTTGGGAGATGTCAAAAAAGTCTGGAAAACTTTACATAATCTAGTGCCCACAAAGAAGAATGATACTGAAATTCATTGCATTAAAGTTCAAGAAGAAAGTCTACGAGGTCAGGAATTGTCAAATGCCTTTAACAATTATTTCTCAACTATTGGTAAGGCTTTGCATGGTACATTTTCTACTACTCAAACTGAACCTACACGATTTCTGTACCCTCATGCAACTTTGTTCGAATTTAGGGATGTACTAACTAGTGAGGTTGAGAATATATTAAGGACACTACCAGTGAATAAGGCTACTGGTCCGGATAATATCCCAGCAAAACTCTTAAGGCCGATTGCCACAATTATTGCTCCATTGTTAACACATATTTTGAATCGATCACTGCGCATGGGCGTTGTGCCTAGTCAATGGAAACATGCACGTGTCACGCCAATTTACAAATCAGGTGATAAAACTTGCATGGAAAATTATCGACCTATATCAGTTATTCCTATATTTGCAAAAATTATGGAAAAGGTTGTCTACAATCAGATTCACGATTATCTAACCAATAATGCAATTCTATCTGATTGTCAGTCGGGATTTAGGCCTTTACATTCCACTATGAGTGCCCTTCTTAACGTTACGGATAAATGGTTGGATGTAATTGATAAGGGAAATATTGTTGGCTTGGTGATGATAGACTTTAAAAAAGCGTTTGATACTGTCGATTACTCTATTTTATTGCAAAAATTAGAAATGTACGGATTTGATCAATTGTCTTTGGAATGGTTTAAAAATTACTTCAATGAAAGATATCAGTTTACATCTGTGAATGGTTACCTATCTGAAAAGAGACAAATTATTTGTGGTGTCCCGCAGGGCTCCATTCTGGGCCCACTGTTATTCACTCTTTTTGTAAATGATATGCCAAAATGTATTAACTGTTGTGAAGTCGCACTGTACGCTGAAGATACATGCATATATACATCAACAAAAGATCCACAGGAAGCTGTACTTAATTTGAATAATGACCTTATACGTTTATCTAATTGGTTGTCTGAAAATAAGCTGACAGTTAATCTGAAAAAATGTGAAGCCATGTTCATGGGAACAGCTCAACATCTGAAGAAAATGCAACATGTATTTGATAACTCTGATATCTTTATTGATGGCATAAAAATTCAACAAGTCGAATGTTGTAAATATTTGGGAGTCGTTATTGATAGGAATTTGCAGTGGAAAAATCACGTTGAATATGTTAAGAAAAAAGTTATAAAATATATTTATCTTCTGAGAAGACTCCGACCATACATTAACCAAAATACGGCACTGTTGTTCTACAAAACCATATTGCAAAGCCATTTTGATTACTGCAGTCCTGTTTGGACAAATACCTGTAAAACATATCTTGGAAAATTACAAATTCTACAAAATAGAGCTCTCCGTACAGTGTTAAAAGTGGATTATTTGTTTCCTTCTAATGATTTATACCGATTACTTAAACTAGACCGACTGAACGAGCGATGGTCAAAACACCTAGCTTGTATCATGTACCGATCAATTCACCAACTCTGCCCAACCTATCTTAGCAATTTTTTTTCTTTCCACCAATCAAAATATAATACAAGATCTGGCCCACGTAAATTAAAACTTTCCCAACCCAAAACTAATTACGGTAAACGATCACTTGTCTATCGGGGTTCAAAACTGTGGAATTCACTTAGTACCATCGCTCAATCAATAGTCTCAATTCAAGCATTTAAACACTTCCTTCAGAGTAACCCTATCAGATGATTTGTTTTATTATGTTTTGATTGTTTTATACGCAACAATTTTATATTTGGTTTTCTCTCTCGCCTCTCTATTCCTTGTTTCTTTCTTTCCCCTATCCTGCACATTTCTGTTTTTCTTAATGTATAAACTGCTTGTTTATCATTGTAATCATATCTCAAATGTATTTTATCAACAATTTGTATTTTTATCTTGTGGATGGACCCCTTTGAAGACCAGCTTTTAGCTGAAAAGGGTGATCCTTCCCATATGTGGAAAATAAATAAATAAAAAATAAAAAAATAAAATGCTGAGCATGCTACATCGTTCGTTCGTGTCTCCTTAGATCAAGATTACTGTAATCTTGATCTTCGGAGTAGTTGCTACAACCGGCCGTGTCAAGACACGTTGCCCCGGGGTGCGAGTTAGGACTCTTGTAGCGTGCCCCCATTTAAAACAATTATACAGTTACAGTTAACAATACATTTAATTAATAGTATGAAACTATTAAAATTACTCTCACGTTACGGGAAAAAATATTGCATATACATATGTAATGAATCAATTGATTTGGTCGATCCAGTTAGATGGCACAAACACGGCACTACTGGACAGAGATCCTAATAATTACAGAGCTTGGTCTTGTTGCTCTGTTCGCCAGCAGTTTAAGGATATGGAATCCCGCGGCACATTACTCACAAGAGTTCTAACAAGCCAAGCTTATACAGAGCCTATAATAAGTAATGTCGTACATGTACCACCCACCCGATCGATCAAAAACTCATAACTCATAACTGAAAAAAAGTAAAAAGAAGAAAAAACAAAAAACAAACGACGAAATGGTAACCATCTAAAATTTCATAGTTGTGATAAATATTTATAAAGATTTATCAAGCACCATTAATAAATAATATCATGTTCAAGAAAAGGATATATACACTTTGTATTCTTCTTTCGTGTCCTCAAATGCTCTGCCAGGCCTTGGCACACTGGAGAGCCTTCTCATTTGCTGCCACCAGGTCTTCCAGGCAGCATTGGTCGATTAGGAGTGGACATCTTAATAGGTGTGACATGGATTGCACGGATGTTCCACACTCGCAGTTGGTGTCTGTGTCGTCAGTATATCCCCATTTATTCATGTTGTATTTACATCGCCCCACACCTGTGCGAAGCCTATTGAGGGACTTCCACATCTTCCAATCACATCTATGGCCAGGGGGCAGCTGTTCCTTGGTCGGGATTGGTAGCTTTTCATGGTGGTGGTTTTCAGAACGTTTCTCTTCCCACAAGATCACTCTGGTTGAATGAGGAGGTTGTGACAGTGGCTGGACTGTATGAAGGAAGCTTTTCCTTGACTTCAGGCGGGTAGGGGCCGGTTGATGCGAGTAAAGGGGATGGCGGGTGTCCTCAACTTGTCTGCTGCGTTCAGTCCTACTTGCAACTGTTCTGCGGACATTGGATGGAGCAATGCCGGCCAGGGAGTGCAAGCTGTCCACATTCGTGGGCTTGAGGCAGCCAGTGATGCATCTGCAGCTGTCGTTGAGTGCTGCATCAACTTTCTTTGTATGGGATGATCTTCCCCATACAGGGCAGGCATATTCTGCTGCAGAGTAACACAACGCAAGAGCAGTTGACCTCAGCGTGGAGGAATTGGCACCCCAAGATGAATTTGCCAGTTTCCGTAGTAGGTTGTTCCTTGTCCCAACTTTACCCTTCACCTTTTGAACATGCTGTTTGTATGAAAGGGTTCGGTCAAGAGTGATTCCAAGGTAGACAGGGTGGTCGCAGTGTTTCAATGAGACATCGTTCCATTTCAGGGAGAGCTTCCTCCCAGCATTGTAGTTGCGGAGATGGAACAAGCTAACCTGGGTCTTGGCAGGGTTAGCCTTCAGATGGTTGTTGTTGTAGTAGTCTGTCAGGTTGTCTAGGGCTGATGAAAGAGTGGTTTCTATCTTGTCTATGTGGGAATTCTGAGCTGCTATGCCAAGGTCATCAGCATAGATGAAGCTTCTTGTCCCTGGGTACACTGGCTGGTCGTTGGTGTAAACATTAAATAGGACAGGAGCAAGTACGTTGCCCTGAGGTAGACCATTCTTTTGTTTCCTCCATCTGCTGCGCTTCCCGTTGAGCTCAACATAAAAGCGTCTATTTTCCAGGAGCATTTGGATAAGCTTAGTCAGATGGGAGTCCTTTGTCATGGTATAGAGCTTGTCGAGAAGTATACGGTGGTTAACAGTGTCGTAGGCAGCTGTCAGGTCGACGAACACAACTCCAGTCGGTTCATTCTTCTCGAAACCATCCTCGATGTGCTGGGTAAGATTTAGCACTTGGCCAGTGCACGATCTTCCAGGCCGGAAACCTGCTTGCTCTGGTATCAGGTGTTGTTCTGTGACTGGCCCCAGTCTGTTCAGGATGAGGCGCTCAAAGAGCTTGAAGAGATGGCACAACAGGGAGATTGGTCTGTAGCTCTTTGCTTCGTTAGGGTCTTTCCCTGGCTTGAGGATAGCAATCACACGGGCCTTCCGCCAGATTTTAGGAAGCTGGGAGAGGGTTACGCAGTTGTCGAACAGAGAGAGCAGCCATTCCTGTGTATTGTGCCCAAAATGTTTGATCTGTTCTGTACGTATGTCATCAAGACCAGCTGCCTTGCCATTCTTAAGGGAGTCGATAGCCGTCTGGAGTTCCAAGTTGTTAAAGTACCAGGTAGATTCTGTGTCAACCTGTGGCCAAGGATTCCTTTTGTGGCGTTTCTTGTGTGCCGATTTGCCATTCAGGAGAAGTTGGTGGGCAACCTGATCTGCAGTAACATTAGAATGGGGTGTAGACTTCTTGGGATCGTTACTGATTTTCTTAATGGTAGACCAAGCTCTCTTACTGTTGTGCGTCATATCAACACCCTCAATGAGATCTTGCCAAGAATTCCTCCGTTCTTCTGATATTGCTGCCATGAGGAGCTCACCTGCACTCAAGGTTTCCTCTGAAAAGGGGTCTTCCTCGTAGAGTTTTATGTACTCCTTGTACATCAAGGCACTTTCAGCTGATAATCCAGGTATGTAGTTTTCCCTACATCCACGTGGAATGTGCTTCCTGGATATCTCCTGTACAGTCCGGACGAATTGGTCGTAGTTTGCCGGGACTGGGTCAAGATCAGATAAAGCTTCATCTAGATCGATGGCGAACTTCTCCCAGTCAGCTTTACGAAAATTGAAACGGCGTCGTAGGGGAACTCTCTGAGGTACCACAGCAGCAGTAATGTCAACGATTATTGGTCTGTGTTGTGAATGTGGTATTGGCTCCAGGACTCTCTTCTTGGTTTGGCATGATATTCGTTCACTTGTAAAGGATAGGTCTGGATTATAACCTTTCTTCCATCGACAGCTATTGAAGGAATGGGGGAGCTTAGCATCATGGATTAGGTCAAGATGATGTGCCTCTGCCCAGGCCTCAGCAAGGTCACCGTCCTCATTTGTTTCTCCGTATCCCCACGAGGTGCTATGGCTGTTAAAATCTTCAATAATAACATTAACAAGGTCATAGTCGAAAGATTGAGGTTCAGTAAAGGCAAATGTAGATCCCGGAGGTTTATAAACAGAAGTGACTGATAGTTTCCCCATGTTGACAGCAAGGACTTCTATGTTATCCTCTTCAGTCAGTGAGGTCTGATCGATGATCACATCTTTCCTAACAAAGATAGCACTTCCATATTTCTCATGTGGCCTCTCTATAGCCAACTTCTTTCCAGGAATCCTCGGTCGAATGTGTTGGTGGCCTCTGTGGGTCTCTTGTAGACATAATGCTACACAGTCGTTCTCTTTGCAGAGCTTTCCAATGAGTTGTTGTTTCACTGTTGAAAACCCCTCAGTGTTGATGGACATCACTGTTACCTACCGTCCTGAAGAGGGTGCATGCTTCCGGCGACAATCAGTGGGAGCCATTATTAGATAATATTTACTTGCTGGTAAGAGTAGATGACATGGATGGATGATTGTGGTGGTAGAATTAGCTCAGGACGATGTCCAGTTTCCAGCCCCGCGACGTGGACGCTTAGATAAGTAGACACTCAGCAGAGTCTTCTATTGTGACGTCACACTCAGCTCAGCAGTGGTGAAAGATAAGTAGACAGTCCATGCACAGAGTCTCTTATTATGACGTCACACTGATGAAAAGTGCGCGCAATGCGCTATACTGTTGCTATGCGTATGTGTAACAGGTGCTTCTCCGCGTTAATATTCAAAACAAATATCCAAGAATACGCAAAGAAAAACAAATTTGAAAAAAAAAAAAAAATCCTATAAAAGTGCAAATTTTACGAATGATTTGCTTTAAAATGAGGTCCATCGATGACGAAAAAATCCAGATTTTCTCCAAATCGCCTTCCAAGTGTTGTTATCCGTAGATCGATGTAAGTTATAATGCTTATCGAGCGCTAAAACCAGAGTTACGTCTGAAAGTTCGGGAGCCCACGAAAAACACGTCCTCCCCGCCCCAACCCAGTAGTATCAATCAGCATGCTACATTAACGTTCGCATCCTACCGGGTACCCATTTTACACCTGTGTGGAGATTATCAAATGTAGACCAACATTTTGCCAAAGGACATTAGTGCCGGGCAAATTTCCGAATAGACAAAACAATACTTCAATTCAATTGCCATTTCGATTTCAATTTATTTTCATTCAGATCATTCCAATACCTCAACGTATATTTCAACTACACAATCAAAGTTTTTCCAATTGTTTCCTTACAGTTTGTTTCCTACTGTAATGAAATGACCAGTACTCGACTTAATTTAATTACTATCGTGGTCAGAACATTTGAACGGGGGATTAACACCCTAACACCTTTGATTGGTTGGTCCAAGTTCCATTGATAATCTATTTTTTTAGCGGATGATCGGGGGGGGGGGGGGGCATAGACCATCGTGCATTTCATTAAACATGTTTTTCTTCTGCATTCTGTTAACAGATAGCAGAAGAACGACCTGCTACCAGCCAAGATGGCCGTCCTTTGGTGGTGGATACCGTTGTACTTACGATGGGTCTGCTTTGATCAGGGGTTATAGAAGTGTCTGGAGGTCCAGTCACTACCAAGCGGTCATGCCTTCAAACGCTCGATTCTTCTCTTATTACTATTATTTTCTTGATTACTATTATTCTTGGATTGGTGAGTACACCTACATTCCTGTGATTTCACTTCACTTATGATACATTTTAAACTCGTGCAGGGATTTGCAAAGTGAATATCTCAAAACTTGTAAAGAGCCAAAATGGTTTAAAATTCATAACCGTACACTTTCCTAATAGTAAGTTGGCAAAATGTTCATTATTCGCAAAGTGACAGTCGTTTTTATTTTAAAATTTGGATTTTGCAACTTGCAGGGTTTTATTCACCCCATTCGTTGTGTAAGAAATGAGGGCTTCAATCTTCACTCATAGAGAATAAACCCCAGAGTTATTTGATTTGAAATCTTGCACATACTTTCATAAACTCATATTTCTGCTACAGTTAAATTTTAATTTTTAATTTGTTGAAGGCTTGCTTATCGCTGACGTGAGCTTATAAATGGAAACATTTTTTTTACAGTGGTGACGTCTGGTTCTCTGCCTTCTATTTTTCTATGTGTGTTAGATTTATTATATAATCAATTCATTTGAAACATCCCAGAAAAAAAAACATTTACTTATTTAATGCCAAAACGTAAAAAAAAATTGTTGATAGTTCCTTTTTTTCTAAGCGTTTGATTGAGTAATAAAACGTTATTGGACAACTGTGATTATCTACAAAACAAATTATGGGACATTCAGCCGCTATTCAATTTGCTAATTGTAATCTCACATGCACCCTTTTCTCACCCTCTCTCTCTCTCTCTGCCCCCCCCCCCCCTCATCTCTCTTTTTTCTTTCTTTCTTTCTCCCTCTCTCTCTCTTTTCGCTCTCCCCTTCTCTCTTTCTTTTCTCTTTCTCTCTATTCATCCTCTCTCTTTATCTCTCTTCTTTATCTGTCTCTCTCCTTTCTCTCGCTCTCTCTCTCTCTATTCATCTCGTTCTGTACTTTCGTAATCATTAATCTCCTTTTCTAAAATCGTTTTAATTTATTCAGAGAGGGACGTCCTACCCCGATTCTACTGCTGTGGTCTGGCTGGAGGGAATTTCTGTAACCTTTACGAAAGTCGCCGTCCAAGATCTAATTGCTGGGGATATAGGCAACCATGGTTCGGTAAGATCTCGTCTAGGGATATTATTAAACAAATAATTAACAATCACAATAAAATATTTAAGTCGTATTCATCACTGATTTGATAACAAGGGTACACCAAAAATATGCACATCATTTTTTTTTTTGGGGGGGGGGGTTGTTATCCATGCATAGCATCACATATGTTTTAAACTCGTAGCATCATTAAATGAAATTGATGATTAGATAGGCCAATATGTTTTGATAAGGTGCAAAAAATCACATTGCACATGGAAATATCGTTTTTTCTTTATTTTGTATTAATTTGTTGTGGGGGATAGTACAGCCCACGAGCTCTACAGCCATAGAGACAAAACAGCGCATAAGCTTTACCCACATCCTTCCTGCGGATTCACTAGATCGAGCGCTCACGAACCCGATAACGGTCTCAAAGGCTGTTGAGCTTCTGGAATGACCCCGATAAGGAGGCTGGTAGGGGCCACATCATTCTGACAAAAATCTTGAATCAAAGACCTATGCATGTTAAATGAAATAAATCAGCACTTTATCTTACTATTTCATTCAAGTCAAGTGACGAGATCTCAACACATTGTGTTTCCTAATTGGAGCGCAGTTGCGTTTACCTCTGTTTGATAATTGAACGGATTGTTTTGAAGAAATTCACGTTGGGTTGGGTGATCCAATAGTATGCAGTTGCTTCTACTTCCGTTCACTATGCAATAAGAAGTTTGATCGCCATCTTGATTCTTAAAACTTCAGGATGGTTTTGGGGCGACCCACACATCAATACCCTTGACGGTAGGAAGTACACCTTCAATGGTCTTGGGGAATACACCACGATTGCTTACAGTCATGGCGACCCGTTCATGTTGCAAGCCAGAACCGGTAAGGCGTTTAACAACGGCGTGCCTGTGGAAGATGGGACTGTCTTCACAGGGTTCGCTGCAACACAAGACATCACTAAGGTAGGTGGTTTCTACGACATCTTCTGCCAGTGTTGCAGGTGATTTGTACTTTGCTACGTTTACACTATGTTCCCGGCGGCCACGGCAACCACGTTTCAGGCCACCGTGGACGAAACGGGATTGACGTGACACAACGTGGGGGACCGTTTACGCAAACGTGACAGCCCGTGATTGCTGTGGATACCGTGTCAGATTTTTCAACTGTCAAAAGATTTGCCACGGCAGTCACGGTGTGGATGAGAAACCTAGTAGGCCGTAGTAAAACGGGGTGAACGTAACAGAACGTGACGGTTCGTAATAGGCCGTAACAAAGCTTGGAGGTGTTATTACATGTGTGGGTAAAGTGTTATTACATTTGTGGGCGTTATTACATTTGTGGGTGTAACACCCCCATTTGTGGTTGATTGAAAATTATTACATTTGTGGGTAAAGTGGTTATTACATTTGTGATTGAAATTATTACATCTGTGGGTAAAGTGTTATTACATTTGTGGGTGTTATTACATTTGTGGGTAAAGTGTTATTACATTTGTGGGTGTAACATCACCCCCCCCCCCCCACGGCTCGTCACGGATACGGTGGTAGACCGTGAGAAAACTTGGCAAGACCTAACAAAACTTGAATCCAGAGATAAAATTGGTCTAAATCCCACGGCGCACTACGTTTCGGGCAAACGGGGCTGCTGTGCCCGCCGGGAACATAGTGTAAACGTAGCATTAATCCCGGCAGAACGAATTTCCTTGCCGGAACCGATCGCATGTGACACCGGCAATAGCCCATCGGTCGGGTTTATTTTGTTCTTGTGACAAGTGCTTCACATTTTGAAAGGGTTAAGGTTATGGTGCAATGTGCGATTCGGGGTCTAAATTAGGAATTCGGTTATTCTAGGACATTTGTCCACCGAGCTGCAACATTCGCATGTGCGGTACAACCTTCAGAAGTAACTAAATTCATCAGAATAAACTCATGCCATCCGCTATACTATCTCCCTGTCTCTTTTTCTCTCGTGTCTGTCTCCTCTCACCCTTTCTCTCCCCTCTCTTTCTACATACATATTGTTTAAGATTTTGTGATTTTACTTGGTAAACTCTGTACAATACCTTCCTTAGGCTGCCATGTAAATTTGTGATGAATACCATTTCAATTCAATTCAATGTTTGTTTTGCTTTATTTGTGATAGGTCGAATTCCAGCTGAATGATGAAAGGACAGACATGAGTATTCTAGTTAATGCTACCGCGATCAATATGATGGAATTCCTAGTGGGTAAGTCTATATATTTAAGATCACATCTACATAAGCTTAAACAAGAAGCGAGAAGGCGACTTGTTTAACTCCTCACCAATGCGCCTCTTTTAAGTCAATCGAGAAGGCAAGAAGGCGAGAAGGCGAGAAGGCGAGTTGTCAAAACTTCTTTAAGCCGAGAAGGAGACTGGTTAGAGCTCACCAAGTCGCCTTCTCGCCTTCTCGATTCACACAAGGCGCCTTGTCAGTTTTAAATACTCGCATTCTCGCATTCTCGTCATGTCGCCTCATCTCTCTTCTGGAATTTCGTAGTGAGGATGTCACAGTCATTTATTCGTTCAAGTTGTTCCATCGCTGGTATGGAAATAGACACCTTCTGACGTATATAAGGCTAGATTGGTATTTAGAACCCAATATATTAATGTTTCCATACAAGTAAATATGGACTTGCTTTCATAGTTGATACGACATTTATCCTATCCGGTTTTGAGCATCTAAGGTTAAATCGAAATCAAGTCAGATAGATTCAAATACATGCAGGTGCATTCGATCCGGATTATTCGACTTTACTCCAATTCACCATAGGGCTTTATTAATCAAATCTTTCCTTTCACATTCAGAGCACTTTCCCTCATTCAGTTCGACTCCATCGTATCCTTCTTGGGACTTTTAACATTAAATGGGTACCAAATACTAAATGTATCCATTCTCATATAGATGGACTCAACTCACCGGATCCAACCTTCATTCTATCCACGGAAAATGACACTGTCTCTGAAGGTGAGATCAAGGTCACAGCGCTGTTCAAAGCAGAAGGCTATCCCAGTTCGTCCTTCACCGTGACCTTCAAGAACGGCATCTTGGAACTGAGTGTCATGGTCCCTTCTGAGTATGCTCAGAACGGAATCGGGAGAGGTCTGCTCGGTAAGGCATTTTATCTATGTTGCTGTTCTCCACCCAGGCGCGTTGGCACAGTGGTAGATTAGTGGTCTCGGACTGACATGTCCAGGGTTCGAAACCAATCGATAGGCCAGCGACGTTTAGTAAGGCATTAACCTTCATTACTAGGTCCCTCGGAGAGGACTCATAGCCGTCGATACCCTGGATGCTTAAAAGCGTACACATACTTTCTTAGCAGACGGATAAAAACAAACCATCAGACCATCAAGTTGATGGTTACCCGGTATGATTCGAAAGTCATTGATGGTGGCTCAGCAATGCGAACGTGTGTAAAATGCGGCCTGCATGAGTAATATCTTTTAAAGCGCATAGAAGAACCAAGAATATCATTTATTTTGTACGTATATATTATGAAATAGCTATATAGGCGCCACTTACTGTTTATAGGGGAAAACGGCAAAAAAAGATTGTTTACTAGTAAGCCTAATCCTAAACGGTAAAGTAGGAAATAATACTGACCCTGACCTGCACCTAATATTGACACTAACCAGAATCCGAGAGTCTATTTATCCGTTTTTTCAATATTGGTTGAAGTCGGAAGACTTTGCTGAAGTTTTTCGGCATGCAAAACTTGAAGGTCCCCAGAACGTACAAAAGCTACAATTTTTAGTCAAAAATATATAAGTATGATTTACACACAGGTTTAAGTTTCATAATTAGAAAGAATAACTACAACAAAAAAGTGATATTATATTTGTTTTATGTGGTTAACTAGGTAATGTAAATGGGGACAAATCAGATGATTTTCTGCTCAAGAATGGAACCTTATTAGTGGATCAACCAGGAAGAAATTTAACAGACGGAGAAATATTTCAGTTTGGACAGTCATGTAAGTTTTCAAAAGAGTTCTCTTGTCATATCATTTCTTAATGTTTAACGTATTCAGACTAGTCGTACATGTATTTGATGTAGTCAAATCATTTGTTGTTTTATGTTCTCTATTGTAAAGTAATATTTTGAGGTAGCAGTATGTCAGCGTAGCTTTAATCATTTCTATTCCTTTATCTTTAAAAGATGTCAAATACCATTTATAACGAATGCAGTATATTTTGTTAATGAGTTTGTTCCCTATACGGTATGCTAATATTATGTAGGACAGATTTCTCACACTTGCTAACATGTTCTAAAGCTAAGGTTGTAATCTCTAACAGTAATGCATTCATATGAACAGGGAAATCTAAAGTACTGAAATTTAGGAGCAGTAACGGAGAAATATCATGTTTAGGCGTGCTCTCTTTCTTTCAAATAATAACATTATTTTGTTTTGAATTCGTATTATGATAAGATAAGTGAACATTTCTGAATGATATTGTCAATCTAACTGACTAGATGAGCAGCAGAGAAAAAGAAAAGGGAAGGATAAAGAAACGAACACCCAGAAAGATGTTGATATATTATATTAAGGTTTTTGAGCTGATAGTGATTGTGATGATGGTAATGATGATAATGATTATAATGATGATCAACCGGGCATGGTGGATCAGTGCTTAGAGCGCCCGCCTCATGAACGGGAGGTCGAGGGTTCGAACCCCGGCAATGGGACCTTCTGCCTTTTAGCTAGGCGCTCAGCATATTAGATTGGAGAAGGGTAGTAATAACAAATATGTTATGCAGGGCCCGCTGGAAGAGCAGTTTCATAACTGAAGTGGCTACCCTGGGTAAATAAAACGTTATTATTATTATTATCACGATGATGTAGATTCTCCAGTCATGTAAAAAACAGCAATACTTTAACTTCCCCAAACTTCCATTAACTCTTTGTATAACATTGTTGTTGTTACTACTATAAGGGATGATACAAGAGAGCGAATCGCTCTTTGAATACGGTGATCGGAGCTGGAGTTACTACAATCCTAGCGACTACAAACCAATTTTCCTAGACGAGCTGCTTGCTTCCGACACCGACCAAACCAAGACAGCCCGAGAGGCTTGTGGGGAGGATGAGGCGTGCCTGTTCGATTACCTCGCCGTGAGTCCAGAGATGGGTCAACAAACTATGACAACAGGGAAACAACTCGACAAGGACCTCCTAAACCTTGGTGAGATGTGGCAATAGACTGCGCCGTTTTAGTACTCCGGGTTTATCAGAAGATGTTATCGACCCTATTAGCATCCATGAAATGATCAAATGAGCAATGATCTCATAGGAACTGAGTATCGACACTAGGCCAGTGTATTTGTTTTCCTCGGGGTAATCCTTATTCACATAATTAACTGAAAGCCGTATATCACGTTCTAATAAAATTTCTATGCAATGTTGCTTTCACGTGAGCAAGATGATAAACCAGTCAAACATAAGGTAAAATTCGCGTTTTATCCTACCAATGATCGGGTTCAGTGACCTTTTAAAACCTATTATAATTATATGTGTGCGACTATAGTTTATAATTTCTAAATGTCATTGCTTATGTATTGAAATGGTGAAGCATGTATATGCAAGTGTGCATTCTTTTTCAAAATCTACATTATAGCTATAAAATGCTAGTTAATATTTCGATAGAAGTTAAATGAATGTCAAGACTGTCAATATTACGTTTGTGTTGTTTTACTTTTCTAACATAAAATGTATAGATAACTTTCCTCCGAACGTAACCAGCGTGGTAGAGATAGGCGTGACAGATGCTTTACAAGAAGGGGAGGTTCTCTTCATGCAAGTGGGCGTGACCGTTACCTTGAATATTTCTGCACACGACCCGAATGAAGAAGATGAGGTATTCTTTACATTCAACGATACAATACCAGATGGCGCCAATATAAGCTCCGGTATGGACACAAAAAAATGAATGCTTATGATTTTTTTTTTTTTTTCAAATGTCACACTTATTTGTTTATACTCTCTGTAAGATGATAGATGAGAGTAATATTTGTCAAATGATACATCAGAATGTTATAATGACGGATTGATCTGTTGATTAGTGCGCCTTATAATGATCTCTCCTCCTCTCTCTTTAATCCTCTCGTCTCCTTATCTCGCTAATCACTTCTCTTCTTAATTCACTTTCTTTGTGACTCTCTTTGTCTCTCTTTCCTTCATCGTCTCTCTTTCCTTCATCGCCTCTCTCCTCTCTTTCTCTCGCAATCATTACCCCTTTTCCCACTCTCTTTCTCTCCTCTACCATCTCTTTTAAGATTTGTATCACTTTCTATCCTTATCCTGCTCTTTCTCTCTCTTTCTCTCTCTCTTTCTCTCTTTCTCCCACATAAAGATGGTATCTTGACCTGGGAACCACCTGACCTGAATGTATCATCCATCGAGATCATTGTGATGGACGACCGAGGAGCAGTGACATCGCTGACATACAAGGTCATGATCTGCCAATGCGGGAACGAAGGTGTGTGTGACTTCGAAAACCAAGCCGAAGGGCAGGATCTAAATGCCAACGGATTCGCGGTGAGTGTATTGGTCTGCATGCTCTGATTATCATGGACAAAATTCTCCATTAACTATCCCCTCCATCCCCTTTCGAGTAAATCTACATATTATTATGTTGTAAAGGGTTCAACGTAATGATCGACTAAAAGAATCATGCACATCAACCACTAACGCACAAACTCAGGTTATTTTAAAAAAATAAACAACGTGAAAAAAAGGGTGCTGCATTAATAAAATCCACTGCCTAGACTATTTCCATGTCGCGCACCTAATCGGCTGAGGAAATAACACACCTTCAACCCTAAAACGGAAACAGTCTTGCTTTTTATTTTTCAACGAGTGAATTTACGTGGTCGGGCGATCTGTGTGGGATGCGTGTATTATAGGGAAGAGGACAAAGCTGATTGAAGAATAAAACATATATAAAGATGGACAAAATCTGGAGTACACTTATACCATTCTAGGCTGTTTTCATAAATTCACCTTCACAGAATCTAATTTCGCTCTACAACATAACATATTCATTAATATGCATAGATGCAATCGTAACAATGAATTTATAGTACATTCAAACAACGTCATTTCAGGTGGTAACATGCAACTGCTCTGGCGGTTGGTCGGGTGATCATTGTGACGTAGACTATGATTCATGTGAGGGTACGCCCTGCTACGAGGGGGTTATCTGCTACGATGAGGTTCCGTCTTCCGACATAGAGTACACATGCGGCCCTTGTCCACCCGAGCTGTCAGGCGATGGTACCACTTGCTTTGGTGAGCTTGTTTTAAAGGGGCCAATCAATATTTTCTATGCCTCCCTCTTTCTTTCTTGCGGTGATTGTTTTGGGTTTTGGGTATACTATATTTAAACGTTTAGCTTTCAAAATTACTTATGTCAAGAGAATTACAAATAAAAGAAATCTTACAGTGAATGTAAAAGTGACTCGCGGGTAGAATACTCGACACAAATACTAGATTATTTAAAGCCACTGAACTGAAGAAGAATGGAGTTGGAGGACAAAAAGTAAGTAAATTAAAGCAAATTTGATTTAAATTTAAGTCAAACTCAGTAAATAAAATTTTTAAAAAAACTGAAAAAACAACATACTTTTCACAAGTTTTGTAGCGAATGTTCGACATTATGACACTGTATGGTACAGATGTTTGAAATAGTCTACAAGCCACTTTCAAATAAATGTTCATTAAACTGGTTCTTCTCATCTTTAACCCTGATTCGTTTAGATTTTAATGAATGTGCTGACACCAATGACAATGACTGTGAACAGAAATGTGATAACAATCTAGGTTCTTACACGTGTTTGTGTAACGCCGGTTATATTCTTGCCCTCGATCAACGTTCCTGTGACGGTAAGTAAACAAAAAAAATCTCTGAAAAGTTAATAATTATAAGAGTAACAAGGTTGATGGTGAGTGTGTGGGGTCTCGATATGTGCGTGTGCGTGTGTGTTTGCGTGTGTGTTTGTGTGTGTGCGTGTGTCTCTGTGTGTATGTCTGTGTTGGTATGATATTTACCCGATGTACCGGGATTATTTGGAACAGTTGCTCTCATAAAAAAACAACTTTCTTAATTTTTTGTAATTCTGCATTACGATAATGACATCTTTAAAAGGGAAAGTCCATCCTGATGAAAGAATAAAAGAAACGTGTAACTGAAAGTTTTAGCAAAAACTGATTAAAAATAAGGCAGTTATGAATATTTGAAGGTGTGATCAAACAAACACATATTGGCAACTCTGTGACTCACTCAAGACATTTTCAATTATACATTCACTCTAAATATAATTATTGCAAATATGTTTTTTTTTATATACTACCCGTGTATGAAACAAATCATTTCCGTCATCAAATACAGAGCAGAGTGGAGAGGAGGTCGCAGGATAGGTCACAATTAATGCTGCCAATTTGTGTTTCACTAATGACAACTCCAAAAAGACATAACTTTCCTATTTTTGATCGGATATTGCTCAAACTTTTACGAATTTATTTCTCTCATTTTTCTGACTTTGATAGAACCCAACCTCATTTCAGGGTGGACTTCCCCTTTAAGTTTGTCAAAGGATTATAGGCCTTTGGCCTAGCAAAAAAAAAATGATTGTAACATTAACCGTAATCCTTACACAAACCCCAACCTTAACTCTGAGCCTAACCATAACTCATCAATAGTCAAACTAGATTTCTGAACCACAACCTTAATACAAATATTCCTGAAAAGATCATGGATGATAACTCACTAAACAATTCATAAAAATATGTCTCCATTGATCGACCGGTCAAACGATTGGTTAATTTTCATTCGTATAAAGTATAAGTGTGTTTCCATTATGGAATATACGAGAGAGAGAGTGAAAGAGAGAGGGAGAGAGAGAGAGGATAGCTCATTGAAGGTGATAATTGGTTTATTTACAATAACTATAATTATTGTATATGTAAGGAAAATGTCCTCAGCTCTTGACTGTTTAATTTCAACAAGGCTCTAACAAAGTTGTTCTTCATGACATTTTTATATTTTAATCTCGACATTTTGTTTCATGTTATCGCAGAGGTAAGTGAATGTGATGAGGCCCTGAAGAATTCCACTGAATCTGCCAACTGCACATGCGAGCCCGGTTTTCAACTTGAAAACGGAACGTGTTCAGGTATGTTTAAACTGGCCGTACCAGGATTTCAAGGGGAGCCAAAGGAGTATTTTATAAATGGGGGTGGAAGAGGAAAAAGTATTTTTCCGATCGACGACAGAAAAAAGTCGTGCTTTAATAGCTGTCCTATACCGTGGTGTAGAGAAGCCAATGTCAATACAATTTTGACTCGTAATAATTCTTATAAATGACCGTTTGAACAAGGGAGAGTGAAGAGGCAGAGAGTGAGAGAGAGGGAGAGATAGAGAAAGAGAGAAAGGGAGGGTGAGACAATAAATGTGATACAACAATACAATTTTTTTTCCCATACTAAATCCTTGAATTTAACGAGTAATAATTTATCATTTCAACCCAGATCCATGAAAATGGTGTGTTTATAATTCCTAATTCAATTCCGTTATTTAACAAAGATGTATTGTTACTCAATAGATTTTGATGAATGTGCGTCTCATGTGGACCAATGCCCGCCTGATATCTCAACCTGTATGAACCTCCTTGGGGACTACAGCTGCACCTGTCAATCAGGATACCATAATCCATCCCCTAAAGAATGTCAAGGTATGAACACAGACCTATTACGGATGGACATTCGACGTGATTCTTTCTTTTGATCCAACGAGATCCGCCGCCTTCTGATTATTTGCATGTTAATAAGAACAGGGAGGTGAACGAAAAGAGTGGAAACTCTTGTAATTTATTCAAACGCATTCGTAACTTCTAAAGCGTAACAATGGGATGTGTAACATTCCACTTGGTTTTGAAGTTCCATGCCCCGAGCCGCTCTTTCACTGCGGGGAATTTCGGAGGCCGGGCACCAGTTTCACATTTATTACAAAATATTAAATTACCGGCAAAATTTCAGTGTAATTAGTTGTAAACTTTATTTGGGGATCGTATCTTTGATAACTTAAAGTTTGCTAATGCGTGTTTTAGCGTGTTTTTTGTATTTATGCAGTTGGAAAAAAGGATGAAATTACACAAGTTTGTGTTCGCTTGTTCTACTTTTTACACATTCAACAGTGGATGAGAAATCACTGAATGGGACAGCGAACAGTTGCAGTGATACCATGTTCTGATGTAGGAATTCTAAATCCTGCAATTTCATGCCCTCTTTTATCTCACCACCTGGTCAACAGTTGCAGATTAGCGCATAACTTTACGACGGCTTGGAGCATGGGTTCAAAGGAAAGCGGCTTGATTCCACTCCTTTCTTTCACCTCCCTGATGAGAACATTAAAGCCTCGGTCACAAATGCCATTACGAACTGCTACGAACGCCGTGCGAACGATTTTCAGACAATGGAAATTCGAGAAGACAATGGAAAAACGGGGAGATTCGTACGAAATTTTCGTTCGTACGAACCTTTGTGACCGTAGCATTGGCTGTTTTAACAATAACGACTGCGTATTAAGCTCTTTCGGTAATTGACAAAGGAGCAGTTTTCTCTCTTGGCCGGGTTTTGTTTGGATGGTGCATGTACTCTGTAAGAGTGTGTTATAAATTAAAACATTACCACAGAGGAGCAGCAAAGTTAAATACCTACCACAATTACTAATTGAACCTTTTTCTCCTTCATTTTAAAGCTTCCTGTATGTTAAAAATAAACACATATGTTTGGCCTTTGTTTCCATTCGTCAGATATCGACGAATGTCAACTGACTACGGCTGTTTGCAGCTCGGATCCAAATCTTGTTTGCATGAACACACCCGGTAACTTCTCATGTGTGTGCAGGGAGGACACAACAGAAATCAATGGAGACTGCCAAAGTATGAATCTATCTCGTTTGTTTTCTTAATTAACAGGCTAATTCGAAATTGCAGTGAAATCTGTTTCGTATTTGGCAACATTTCCATGCCATGTATTCGGACGGAAGACGTTGATCCATTTATGGGGGGAAATGAAAATATTGAAAGCACCCGTATTAGGCAACAAAAGTTCGAGGCAAACTATCAAAATATAAATCCCTTGTGTACGTTTCCTAATCCAATAGTATCCTTTCAGTCAGCTTTTAATTTAGCACAGATTTATATCGTGTAGAAAATCAACTTTGAGGCGGAACCGCATAGGGGGTGGGTGGGGTGGGGGGGGGGGTCGGAAACATAAAATACCAACATTTACTGAATGACTACTTTAAGCCTGAATCCTATGACCGGGGTAATAATATATATATCTGTAAAGCGCTTTGAGAGGGCCTTCGGTCCTGAAAAGCGTTATATAAGAACTAGCTATTATTATTATTATTAACTCAAATCAAGTATATTGCTTTTCATATCCTTGTATTTTGATGACGAAATATATCGAAGTGCCATCGCATTTGTTCACTTGCTTCGCTTGCCTGCAAGATGTGGAAACTTGAAAGATGACTTGGAAGAGACAATAATGTACCTAAACCTTCATCAGATCATAATCTTATTTAGCGTAAGACTCTAATAACAGTTTGTTGCTTGTGTTTAATTCTGTAAATTAATAGACGCGCTGACGTTAACACTCAACGTTCGTCTGACATTCATCAGTGGATTAAGCGTTGAATATTATCCTGATACGATTGATTCACAGGAGAACCAACGTCAGTTGGCCCAAGATGTAAGTTAGTTTTAGAATTTTCGAAGAAATAAAAGCTTTATTTGTGAATCGAAGATATTTCTTTCTTGAAGGTACTATGTCCCATTTGTACTTCCCTCAAAACAGATCTTGACAACAAAACAATTGGTGGGAAAATAACGACAGTTAGTTGTCGAATCGAATTTACGGGTTGCAGTCCTTTTATTGAATAGTCTTATTTCAGATGCTTGTACCGAATGGTCGTACATTTTGTGCTGAGCACAGATTCAATCAGTTTAATTTTTGCATTTACAAGAAGTGGGTTATCGATGTAGACAAATGCTCATGTACCCTTCACAGCTCATTGTACGAATGTTATTACCAAAGATAAAAAATGAAGTCAGTTAGTCAGTCACTTAATGGTGTCTGGCAGTGAAGTCTAGAAAATGAAGGGGTTTTCTTGCATAATTTGAATACTAGGACACTGATAACGTTGAAAATTCACAGATAGGGCATACGCTACATATTCATAATTCCTGCAAAGTTATACAAAATTTGATGTTGGCTACAAAAAGGGATACACCACCTTAAATGTGAAATTTTGTGTTCACTGACTTTGTCTAAATCTGACAAATAATCATTTTTGGTCTACAAAGCTATGAAGTTATTAATTCTTCTCAAAGTGCGAAAACTTTATTTAATAAGACTTAATAACATTATTCACTAAATAAATGTGCGATAACATTTCCCCAAAAAAAAATCAGCATACGTGTATTAAAAATCTGTTTTTAAAAAAAAATGTTGAAGAATTGCATCTTTTGACAGAAAAAAGTATTTAGTAAGAATAATTGTTAAAGCATTTCTCGGGTTCAAGTAAAACTCATCGGAAATGTAAATCTTTTCAGTTCTAAATTCCAATGAAAATTTAAATAATGAAATCATGGAATTATTATACATACATCTTTTTGAAGGTTTTGAGTTACCTCAATAAGTCATCAGAATTTGGAGACGACATACTCCAGGTGTCTGTGAAGAACTACACCTTGACCGGAAGTTATGTTCTGGTGTCCTTCCGGGTCGATGTAGACACTAATGCATCCTTGGATGATACCAGCCTAGAGCGGATTTTCATGGAATTGCTTCCTGGGTCAAGACTTATTGTCCCAGATCATCGAGTCATGGAGGAGGGTAAGGGGATCCACTTTTCCTAAGGCGCTGAAAGTATTTAAGGAATAATATGTACATTTAAAGATGAACTTGAGTTATGGTAAAAAAAAAATTCTCACAGAATCAAACGAAACTTACACTGAATGTTCAAGATTACAAATAAATGTCATTTGCCAAACATTTTTGGTACAAAATGTATACTGGCTGAGTAGTGAGCATAGGAAGATAAGGAAATCAAGGTACGTAGCCCCGACACCATTTGTGTAGTCCCATATACATCTTACTGTGTACAGTGCTTGTTACTTTACCAAGACAGGGCCAAATTTATTATGATTTTGATGACTCCAGAACCTTGCAGTACGCACCAATTCTTACATGCTACATAATCAACTTTTTTCTGATCCATTCCACACCTTTTCTTTCACCATGCAATCACATAACCAGAACTCAACTTTATCTACACCTGGGTAGAGAATTTCAAAAGGGGATAACTAAAAACGTGTCCCCTTCACTGAACGAACCCTAGATAGATTCGCCCTTCATATCCCCCTTTTTATTACCTAATTGTTAAACAAATTAAAACTTTCCTTAAGAAAACAAGAAAATAATGTTTAAAAGTTTTCGATGATCACGTTTAATTTTATACATCATTGGCGGAACCCCCATGCCATGAAACGCGATTCCTTTGGTCAATAATTTTTAATGCACATGAAATATTGTAAAAGCTCCCCCTTCCTTTTGTAGATATCAACGAATGTGAGCGATTTACAGATGTTTGCCGTAACGGAAACTGTACAAACACTGATGGAAGCTTCTACTGTACTTGTAATGAGGGTTTTGATGGAACAGGAACCGATTCTTGCACAGGTAATTACTATTATACCATTAGTAGTAGTAGTAGTAGTAGTAGTAGTAGCAGTAATAAAAGCTTTCTTAGTTTTAGTATTTTAGTTTTGTAGCATTCTTTATCGCATTCATTCAGTACAATTGAAAAATCATACATCTTCATTTTAATTGATATACATAACATATCAAAATGTAAAGAAAATTGTACAACCCTCAGAAATACATATTAAAGTTAAATACATGGTACATAATGTCTTCAAACTAATTACACTAAATGAAAATTATAGATCAAAGCCTTCCCCTCCCCCCCCCCCCCCCCCCCCATCCCCGACAAACAACAAACACACTAGAAAAAACAGACAAACAGAAAGAACAGAAGAAAAGAGAACAGAAGAGTGCAGTCTATAGCGGCAGATAAGCGGTCAACTCCACACGATATCGAACCCGACGGACTCTTCCACTCCTCATCCATTGCATGTTTTCTTTTCATGCTGATGTGTGATACTTTTAAATGTTCCCATTGTTTACAGTGTAGTGCAAATGTATTTCGCTCGGTAGCAATCTTTCTTGCTTCATGTTTACTTTTAAGCAACTTTTCTCCTATTTCTTCAATACTTTGAAGCTTCCTTTTCTCCGTACTAAGATATATCAAATGTGTAATTAATAAAAACAACATGATTAAGTATTTGCCTATCTTCGGTTGTTTCCTCTAATCCAAGTGTGAACTTCCTTCCGAATCATGTCTTTAAGAGTGGAAAGATCCAAGGTAGACTTACTACACCGTTCTCATAATTGTGTAACCATTTCACATTAAAAGAATAGCTGCCTATAAGTTTCCTCATCTTTGCCGCAAAATGAGCATTTGATATGAATTGAAACCTGTATAAATGATGGTTCACAAAAATAATAATATTATAGAGCAATTTATATTGAAATTCCCTCAATTTATTATCCAATGTGCTCAATCTAGGACGAAGAAAAGCTTTTTCAATTTCTTTCACCAACATATTATATGATGATTGTAAATTATGAAAACTAACAGGATTGTCGGCCATTTTGTGTATGCACGCCTTATATATTTTTCTTCGAACAAACTGATTCAAATTGAAAAGTTTTCTTTGATAACATAAATTCTATTTTTAGACCGTCAACTGAAGTATGCTTTCTTAAATCGATTTTCCATTCTTCAGGCGTGTCTTGATATATTTCCTTAATCATAACTATTTCCTGTTCATCTAGTCCCATACATCAATTTAATGCTCCTTCTTCATCTATAATATGGTACAATTCATAGGTATATTTTTAGAAAAGGTTTTCATGAAAATGTTGTTTTCCTTTTTATATGAATAAACCTATTATTGAAGAAAATTCCTTTTCTTTTATTAGTTGCATCCTTTTTAATAAACACATTCATATCAACCAAATATATATCGTTTTCTGGTAGTATTTTGGTAACTGTATGTTGATCATGTTAGGTAAATAATTACAATAGAAAATTAAATTTACTTTTTCCATTTCACTTTCTGGTCTCCAGTTGTAAGTCTTTTGATCCACATCTCCCTTTGTACCTTAACAAAAAGTCTAAAATTAAGCATTTTCAATCCTCCTTGTTTGTAATCAAGGTACAGAGTACTTCTTTTTATCTTGTCTTTCCCTCGCCATAAAAAGTTTGAAAACCGATTCAGGCACCGGAGTCATAAAGCTAACATGAATCAATTTTGAATATGCGTATGTTTTTAGCAAATGCATTTTTCCAATCATAGTGAAATCTCTTTGTTTCCACCAATTAAAAAAAATATTGATTTTGCTCAAAATCTCTTTGTAATTCATCTCTTCAGTAACGTCAGGATCTAATGAAAAAGAAATACCCAATATTTGTACAATGTCAAGTTCTTTTCCAAATGGATAAAAAGTTGCCGAGCCAACAGATGGCCCAAGAGGCGAAATAAATGTTTTATTTGTATTAATCTTAAGTTCCGATAGTTTCTCCAGCTCTCCAGAGTTACCTTAAATATGTTTGACATATGAATGAAGCCTATGTGGCTGGCCTGGGCAGCCCGATCCACTTCATTTAAAAGCCCCACTCTACTACTTATAGCTACTTGCGCCCTCTATACATCCAACCATGCGTAAGCGGTACCCGTTGATCCCCCCCATGATGCCCTTTTTCTTATGTTAAAGCTAAAGACCAGTTATGGTCATGCGATTGCATTGTTTAAAAAACGTTGTGAAATCGATCAGAAAAGGTTGATCATCTAGCATAGATGTACTGCAAGGTTCTGGAATCATCAAAATGATAAGAAATTTGGCCAAGTCTTCATGAAGTTAGAAGCACTGTACACAGAAAGATGTATATGGGACTACACACACGTGCGCGACACGTGCATTTCATATCTCTCAACAGACAAGAGATACACTTATGTATTTATCAAATATATCAATTAGTAGGCGGTTTCCCGTCAAAATTTTTATCATCATGTAATATTCAAAACATATTCTTTCACATGATTGGTAATAAGAGCTTCCATTTCATTTTTTGAAATTGGGGCGTTTCCAATACTGGTCTTTACCTTTAATTGAGAGCTGGTTTGATGAGATAACCACCTGCCAGTGACCTCGCAGGGAGGTCTACTCCCTCTTTGACAGACTATTGCAGAGGGGCTTTCAGAAGCGATTATCAAGACAATGCAATGAATTCATTTTCGGAAATCTAAACCTTCGTAAAAAAATGACCTTCGGAGTAATGAGCCTTCAGAATTATGAACCTTCGAAAATACGAACTTTCGGAAATGTGAACCTTCGGAAAAAACGGCATGTAACCACGATGCGTGAAGTAGTCGTCTGCCGCCGATTTATTAAAAGTTGGTTCCTAAAAGCTATCGTTAGAAGTGTACCCATGGGCGTAAATCCTTACGTAATACCTATTGTTCAGGGGGGATGAACGAATAGATCATCCTCCCTGAACAATAGGTATCAATTGCAGATTTACGCCCATCAGTGTGCCATTAAGGAGCTTTTTTGAGAATTGGGTGTGTACATCAATATGGCTATATACAATCCGACAAAAAAGGCGCGGGACATCATCGTAAAAGAAACATGAAGAATGAACAACGAGAAGACAATTCTCGGACCTCAAAATGATATCAAACATTACATTGATGAATGATGATGATGATGTAGCCAGAAATGAAGGTGAATAAGCTTGCCAAAGTGAGCAATTGGCAAAGATTTTGAAGAGTCCGACCTTGCTCTCACGTGCTGCCGTAATCAAAATGTTAGTAGTATTATTAGTAGTAGTTGCTGTTGTAAGTTGTAATAGTAGTAGAATTAGTACTAGTAGTAGTACAATATTTTTTTAAAGTCAAAACGAGAAGCTGTGTCAGTCTTTACTATGATAAATGTATGATTAATACAAAATCACGAATTAGGTAATGATAACAAAAAGCAGAAATTACATTAAGTAATTAGGAAACTGTTTTCTTTCATTTTTCTTGTATTTCTTTCAGATAAAAATGAATGCCTCGGGGATCACAAATGCAATCTAACTTGCATCAACTCACCGGGAAGCTACTCATGCTTTGTACCACTCAGTACAACAACGCCACAAGAGGAAACCGATGTTTCTAGTACTACTTCTACATCTGGTAAGTTACACTTTTTTAAATTTTATTTTATTTTATTATATTATATTTCATTTCCAGGAACATAATTGAATATAACAATAACAAAAAAGTCAAGAAAACGAATTAAAATATTAAATACAATAACAGGAAAAAAGCCACCAGCTTATGCCTAAGGATTATCAAAGAAACTTAGTCTCTGTAGGAGGCTCTCCTCATTAGTTGATGGTATAATACATAACAATACACAAATATACATAAATATATATAATTACATAAGATATATATCATTCAATTCTAAAACGATGCAAAATACAAATTATGAGATCATAAATATAATTAATTATACGGGGTTCAGGTCGTAAGAGTGAGCTGATTTAAAAGATGAAAGAAAAAGAAGAAAAACATCTTTTATATTTGGCAAAGAAAATCCTGAAGAAAAACAAATCTTAAACTAATCTTGATTTGCATTGTAAATGTTTTTGTTAATGATTTGTGAAACTAAAGACATTTCTTTGTGCAACTCATTATTATTCTTTTTGCCTCAATACCTTTCTAAGCTTTGATTATTGTTTTTCTTTTAAATCTCGCTACCTTTTTACTCAAAACAGAAATTTAGATATTTGTAAGAGCAATAGGAGTACAAAAAATCACTCACGACACATAGTCTACATGAACAAAAATAAACCCTGGTCTTTTACTTCTCTACCCTTTGTTATATTTCCTAATGGATATAATCGTAAAATTGTATTTCATTCCATTGTCATGATTTTTCTTGCATAAATGGAAACTGAAAATTAGCTGCAGGGTAGTGTGATTGATTTGGGAATCAGTTTACCACCTTTATTTTGAAAATGAATTCCTGTCTCTTCCGTATAAAATATAATGTAAACTTTATTTTTTAAAATGTATATCAAATCGTAAATCCCAATTTTCAAGCCTCACTGTATATTCCATTAAATGGTTATGACAAAGATCTCATCTCTACCCTTATAATGGCCTGTTGCACGCACAAGTCGAATCATTCGTGAGGTACACAAATCGAGAATGGATAAAGGTAGAACAGCAAAACATCTCATTTGAGTGAAATAGATCTGCTCTTTACATTCCTAGATGAGTTTTTACACGATAAAAAATTAATCTTATTCACCTTTTTTTTTTACCTTCATCGATTTTAGTTCCTATTAATATTTAGTACGTCTCCATGATTTTGCCATAATCTTACTTTTATCACTATAATTTTTGTGAATCTTTTATCCCTGTTCTACCTTTCTTTTTCAAAATTTATCTTACTTCTTCAAAATTCATCTTACTTCTTTGATATATATATATCTGCTCTTCCTAAATGTTTATCATATTTCTTCAATATTCATTTTATTTCTTTAAATTTACCTCACTCATTTCTACGTTTATCATATTTTCTTTATCATCTATTTACTCTCTCATAATAATGTATCAAACTATTTTTTACTCTTATGTTACTCTTATCTCTTTCTTATATCCCCACAGACTCTGGAAGACCTGGCTTATCACCTGGTGTTATAGTAGGCATCATACTTGGTGCTATGTCGGCAGCCCTTTGTTTCATAGTATGTACATGCTGTATCATGGTTCTGATAGTGCGTAGGAACAAAGATGACAAGATTAAGAAGGGGTGAGTTATTTTCGTCTGACATTGATAATGATAAGTAGACCCTTTCTTCTCTTTCTCATTCTTCCCTATTCCTTTTCTCTTCTTTCCCATTCCCGCCTTTCCCCTTTCTTTGTATTGATGTGTGTGTTTTGGAGAGGTACGTGGCCTAGTTGATACTTCACCAGACCGTGGATCACCTAGTTCGCGGTTCGAGTCCCGCCGCGACACTAATATCTTTTGGCAAGACATCAATCTACATTACTTTGCCACTCTCCACCAAGGTGAAGTAAATGGGTTCCTGAATGCTTTAGAGCCTTATTATGACGGCTCAGCTACAGTCGGGGGACACTATCATGATAGTAGCTACGTTATATGAACGAACGAATTATTATTACTATTATATGAGGTTTCTTGTTCATATATCCCTCGTATGAGGTAGATTCTCACTGTAGTTAATGGCCGTTTTCTTGTATGTGTATTTTTCTTCTTTTTTTTTTTTCTTTTTTTTGGCAATTTGATTTGTTATTATGTTTAACTTGTAACGGGCCCATTTACATGCACAATCTGCTTCGTATTGGTCCTGACCTATCATGTATTCTGTATGTATGATTAATACTTGATTTCTGTTTATGGTAACAAATAAATTAAACTGAATTAAATTAGATAGTGATAATGAAACTTATAATGGCAATGCAGTGACAGTGATAATGATAATAGTAATATATAATGACAATGACAAAGTGACTGTCAATGCCAGTGACAGTGACATTACTTACAATTAGCAGCGATGATAAGAAGGAAAATGGGAATTATAATGATGTAACATGACAATGCCAATGATATTCACTCTGTTTTTTGGATATCTTTTGCAAATCCCTGAAATACAGAGTATGTGTAAATAAATTGAATAAATATAAAAGTTCTATATTACAATGGGGGTTAACTAAATTCTAAACTAAATTCTATATTACATATTTTACTATAATGATAACAATGTATATAATTTGGGGCTTATATACGAATGAGAAAAATGTTCATGCAAAGAAAAAAAAGTAATCACCCTGTTACTGTAATTTGGCAGGGAAAGGAGAGCTAGGGTAACAGAGCACACTCGTATCTATGATGAGCAATGGTCAGAACATTCATCGGACAATCGGTCGTTGGACTCTTCTCTTGATCGACGGCAATATGAAATCAGTCAGGCCGTGAGTCGCCTTAGACTTTACCAAGGCATTGACAGACCCATGGTAGAGACAAACTTTTATCAAGTAAGATATTTTTGTTTCTTTCATTTAGTCGGTCTTTCTTTCTTGTATTGATTCATAGATATTATTTGTTTGTCACTTTATTCACATTTATTTCAACATGAATAAAAAAAAATCGAGAAAAAATAGTCAAAACAAAAAAAACCTGAAATTTCGCAAATCTAAAGCTTATGACCGGTGCATGAGCAGATGTCTCTTTTAAGCTTACGCAAACAAAGCCAGCTTTGCGCAGACATAAACTAATGACTTTTCCTTTTTTTTTTTATTTGTTATGACAATTCATTTTAGTTTATTGATATAAAACATCTCGTTTTTTGAAAGATTTTTTAGAATTTTCTGACTTTTTTTTCTGCAAGTTTTGTCAAATTAAGTAGAAATGGATTTCAATTACAAAAATATCAGAATTAATCGTAAGATTGATTTTTTCCCGATTGATTGCATAGAAATGTAGTGATTATTGCAATCGATTTCAAAAATCAATAGTACGATCATTTGCTAAGCTATGTGTAACAAGCCCAAGGAGCCTAAAGAAGGCTACTGTCATTAATGATCTGTAATTTTTTTTCTTCCTTATATGTTCTTTTTCCCCAACAAACAGACATCTGACGGCTCCGATAACTTTACAGTTCCTTATGTGACCGATGGGCAGAGCAGTGGCGTTGTAAGTCTTTGATTCCAATCACCTCTTCTATATACCACTGGATATTATGATCAAAACTAATTACCCAAGATAATCATCCAAATTTTTTAATCGTTTTTTCATTACGTGAATTGCGTTCAAATAATCCTGTCAAAAGACAACTATTTTTGAGGCCAAAACAAAAATCACGAGAAAGAGCCCCTCATAGCCAGGGCAGCACTTGCACTATGAGCGTTATGAACCTTTAAACGAAATTATAAGCTTGGCATCTTTTAAAAAACATGTTGATTTTTTTAAAAAATATCTTAATAAGATGATGACGTGGATCCTAATCAAATGATTGGTTGAAAGCGTCCACGTGACTAGGTATTTATTTAGCCTAACGCGTAATTTGGATAATGACCGGACATTCTTAATAATGCCCTCACTGTTGTGTATTATTTGTATATTATCCTTCCTTTATCATGTAATGTGTATGCATAACAGACCGTTATGGTGAGTTGAGATTGTTGGTGTCATGACAGCGATTGTATTATAGTCACACCACCAAATTGACTCCACGCTGACTACACACTAAGTACACATGTACTGACTACACACTGACTATGCACACTGACTACACACTAACTACGCACTAACAACACAATGACTACATACTGACTGTACACTGACTTCTCACTGACTCAACACTGACTACACACTGACTTCACACTGACTACACACTGACTACACACTGACTACACACTGACTCCACACTGACTCCACACTAACTACGGACTAACAACACAATGACTACATACTGACTGTACACTGACTTCTCACTTATTCAACACTGACTACACACTGACTACACACTGACTTCACACTGACTACACACTGACTACACAATGACTGCACACTGACTACACACTGACTAAACACTGACTCCACACTGAATCCACACTGACAACACACTGAATACACACACAATACATACTGAATACACACTGAATACACACTGAATACACACTGAATACACACTGACTACACAATGAATACACAGGCTCGTTCAGACAAGTAAATACGCGCAAGTCCTACGTTGGTCGCAGTTGTCATTGATTTACAAGCGGTTTACCGTACCATATCTGAACAAACCTGAAACAGACCGATTCTTAGCCGTACATAATAATGTTCAATGAGGTGTTTGCCATATATCGGTTTCGTTTAAAGGGCACTCTAACCCAAACTAACATAGCCTTTCAGAACTGAATACACGTCTACTTATTAATGTTCCAGCCTCTGATTTTTCAGAACTCTCTAAATTGATCAAAAAATGATAATAGCCATCCATTTTTCACAGTTCTCACGTTTGCTGAGCTACGCCCTTCGAAAAAAGATATACGGTCACGTGGCTTGATGACGCATTGGACGTCATTGCGGGCATGTCCGATGTGATAAATTCATAATAAGGAATGACGAAATTGTCAGAAACGTACTGGGATTATCAAGTGCATATTATTTTTCGCCTTAAATGTTATTTTTTCCCCAATTAATATCATAGTTTGCTTTTTTGAAGACATTTTAACGCCTAAATTACCCTACTTTCCGCCGGAGAGGCGCCTGCAGTGACGTCAAATGCGTCATTACTGGGCTTTTTTGCGCACGTTCTGACTCTCTGAGTCGTCATTTTTTAAGCTAGATTCCAGAATTATTGATGATTTCTAAGAAAAATCATTGTCATGTTCGGAATCTCCGTCAAAAAGTATCTACATGTCTTTTCCCCCCATTTTTGTAGCCCGTTTTGGTGAGAGTGGCCCTTCGTGATTAGGGCATTAATGAGATTAAAAGAATACGATAGCTTAAACTGTTTCCTTCTGTTATTTCTTTGTACAGGGCGCTGTTGAACGGAATCCGATACACGACAGATACTACTAAAGCTTCTCATATGATTGATTTTCTGCAAAATATCCAGGCACTAGCCAACATCAACACACACTATGTCCTCTCTTAACTGCTCTATTCGTTTTCATGCATGCATCTTCACATATTTTAGAGTCTGGTGAATATCGCATTTAGTTTAAGGTTTAACTAACATGGAAGTTTAGGAGGCAAGCTTTTATGAGATTTTTCACAAAATTTCTTGCTGTCCACTGCCTCGAGATCACCGAAGCGAAGATAAGTCAACAATTTGTCTAAATAACTATGGATATCCCAAAACCAATTAAACGAGGGTTGATCAATTTGTTAACAAATTAGTAGAAATTTTTCTAATCAACAATCAAGTCAGATGTGTCATATTATTTTGACAACGACAATTTCTGTATCACATTCATTTATGCTGAATGAGATGTATATATATGTCAAAGCGTATGCATAATTTTATGTAGAATACAATGTCTTACTTATCATACAAATACCTAAACGATGTTTATCGACTCAAGCATTCTTGCTTATGTAGTTGGCCTCTGCATTTATCTTGATTATTTTTTACTTACCTCGATACTTTCAAGCTTTCGATTATGCATTTTCTATTTGTGTGTATTTAAGTTGTCATTCTTTATGTAAATCAATTATATTATATACTATTATTGTTATTTGAATGTTTTATATTTGATCTATCAATAAATGCAGAAAAATCTGCTATAAAAATGTTACAGCTCGTTCAGATAAAACGCGGCCAAACCGTTGGGGTAAAAATAAACCGCGGCTGCTTCTCGTTTTGCGGCGGTTTACCGGGCCATATCTGAACAAGCTGTTATATAATACATATTTATACAGAGCGCAGGGGTGTCGCTAAGGTGCGCGTGTGCGCTTGACCTGTGCGTATGTGTGTGTGTGTGTGTGTGTGGGAGGGTCTCTTTTCTGTCAGCAAACCCTTTCATACCTTTTGGGAAAGTTGGAGGCAAATATCAAAATTGGGGCGGATGCAAAATTATCCTTAGATAGGGGTCACATTTTCGAACCTCTCATCAAATTCTTTGGATCCCATTTTCTCCAGGTAAACTCATTGGCATAAGTTTAACCCCGTCACGTTTAACACCTTTAAGCGATGCCCTTGCATGTTTTGATGTACTTAGTCTTAAGCATTAGTTAGTAGTTTGAAATATAGTGGAATATGTAATCAAGAGAATACAAGACGCCATTGTTGATTTTGTTGTTGTTGTTGCAGAGCAGAAGTTGCTGAATTGTGAATATATAAATTCCCCTGTAACTGCTTGAAACGGTATATCCTGACATTTCGGGCACACAATGTACAGATGCAATTACATGAACAAGTCTTTCGTAAACTTGTTCTGAAGAGGCCCATATAAAGAAAAATGAATCGACATTCTAATATGCCAACGGTACTTTGTGTAATTGGAAGTAAATTAAACTGCAGGAACGTCTTTGTCTTTGTTTCTTCTTACAGCTAGCATTTCAAATTGCACTACAAATAGAAACGATGGAAATATTTCATTAATTTTTGTTATATCAGTACTACCTAGTTGTAAATCAATGTAATTGTAGCACATTTAGTTGATTTAAAGTTTGATCGACATGTATAATTGCACTTCCGTTACTTTTAAAAATAAATATTTGTTTACTGCAGTACCTTTAAAAAACTCAGATTGCAAAAGATAATAAAATACATTTATATTCAGACAAAGTATTCGCGGTTACTCCTATGTGACGTTCTGATTGTTTTTAATTTGTACATTTGCGCAATCAGTTTAGATTTAGATGGTGCTTATAAGTATCGGCTTGCATGGTGATGTATACAGTAGGTTTATGGTTGCACCATGTGAGAGAGAGGGAGAGGAGATTGGTGAGTCCTGATAAGGACTGTCGGTAATCTTTCTTGAGCTTATAGTTCGAAAGAGAACTTTAGCGCCCGTATGAGAGGATGGGTAGTAGGAGTGGTTGGATTAGATTTGTTTTATAAAACTCTTTTAGAAACGTAAGTAACAGGTACAACGAAGACAAGAAATCAAAAAAGATTTTTCTTGATATTTAATAAGTCTCGACGTGCAGAAATAATCTAACTAATACAAATATAGTCAGCTAAGACATCATCACTGCCGACATTCATCATAATCATGAATAGCATCACCATCAAAATAACTGTCATCACCATTATCATCACCTGCATCATCATCATCACCACTACCCCAACCACCACCACCACCACCACCACCAGCAGCAGCAGCAGCACATCATCATCGCAATCAAGTCATCATTACCATCACTTTATTATCGTCATCATCATCATCATCACCACCATCACAGTATCATTAACACCATTACCAATATCAAAACATCACACTTCTTTACTACAACATAACACATCTTTACTACGAGATAAACTTTCAAACACATAAAAAACAAGAATACCGATAATCACTTATGCATACATTTAAAGTAACAACCTGTTTCGTGAGCAAAATAAAACAAACATAATTTTTTTTTAATGAGAGAGAGAAAACAAATGCAAGATATTGTACATCAAAGTGTCAGAATACCTGCACCTATTCTTTGGGGTGAGGTTCGTTTAACGTCATCATGTTTGAACGTAGCCTTTACCGGGGGAGGTGTCGAAAAATGATTTGGATTTTATTCCAAACTAAATCGATAATTACGTTACTCTTATGAGAATGGATTTAACCAGTTTTAATAATGGATTCACACTCCACAAACAAATGATCTATATTTCGACTCCGCAAAATGTTGATTTTCACTCCTGTTCAATTAGATATTAAATCATATAATCACGTACAGTACAGTACTCCTGACAAATATGTACATTATATTTATGAGTGCGTGTTTAAACATGCATAAAATGCCAACATGTATCCCGTCACGTATCGTAAAAATGAAAGATCTTATAGATTTTCATTTATCATTATCTCTTTAACCATATATAATTCTTAGCAGTAATTATTACCCTCCTCACCTGATTCCATAAATATTCTGTAAATGATACTGTACATTGTCCACCCCCTGGGAACGTTTCAGGTAGTCGCCTTTTTACGGGCGCATTCAAATTAATCAAATCACAATGACGTTCACATTCTAACGGGTACCAAATTAACACCTGTGTGGATAGGAGCAATGTGAATAAAATGGCTTACCCAAGAACATATATACCGTGCTGGGCCTCGAACCGACGACCTTTGCATTTCCAGTCAAATGATTTGATCACTCGACGACGACACCTTTGCTACTTTTATGAGATGTTCATGACGTGCGAAGATTATTGGGAAAACCCAGTATGGTACCATTATCTCCTTCTACAACTTTATTGTTATCAATAAATGTCTGGTTATTGATTTTTTGTTCCTTTTATTTTACAGATTTTAAAGATCGAACAGAACAACGACATGTTTAGGAACCTATGTAGTGACATATGTTTTAAGTCCACGCAAATGTAACAAATATTGTCACCCATGCAATTACATTTGTTAATATGACTAGAAATATCTATAACACTTATTTATTATGTTGTCACGCACAAAAACGTGCTGGTGAATTGTCTTTTTCATCGGTTGCTGCAAAACTGTGGAACCAGCTACCTACTGCTGTGCAGACGGCCTCATCTGTTGACCAGTTCAAGAAGCTACTTATGTCACATCTATACTGCTAGAAATTACTTTATTACTAGCCTACATATACTTTACTGAACTCTGAGAAGTGTCTTACTTTTGGTTTTAAATGGGCCAAACATTGTGGAGCGTGTGTGCAGCACTTTGTAACTGCAAGGAAAAGGCGCTTTATCAAATGTCATTTGGTTTGGATGGATTGGATTGGAACATTTTAAATTGTCCTGTCACGCACAGTATTTAATATATGTATTTAACCAAATAAAACTCTTGGCAGTTATATTTAGAAGAAGGAGAATTTGTGTTATTTCCAATCATGAAATACTTATTAACATTATGAATAGTTATCATATAGGTCGTCATTTATTAATATGTATTTAACCATATATACATCTTAACAGTCATTTTTAAAAAAAATTGTTGGTTGGATTTATGTGCGACCATAAAATATGAAATACAAAAATAATAACACATAAAGAAACAAGACACTAAAATATTTTAAATGGAATTCTAGAATGAAAATGAAATATTATAATTAAAATACACCCGTTTCAGATCAACCGACACAGTTAATCTGTTTTTCCTCGGGGTCCCAAAATAAATACAATAAATTGATAAATACTTTATTAGTAGCCGTTAAATAGGTTTACTACTTATTGATTGTAATCAAAATTATATAAGTTGGACAAATAATGGGACAATAAACCAAGTATTTATAATAATCTTTATAGCATAATCAAACGTTTTCCATTTTCATTTTCTTCCTCTTTAAATTTAACTTATTATGAGATCCATCCAAACCATTATCAACATTCGAATGAATATATTGCTGAACATGAAATGTTTATAGGCGGACTATATAATATAAACATCATAACGATAATTACCTATCACATATACTTATGGCATGGAACCAGTGCCTGACGTCAGCAAATGTTCCCATTTTCAACCCGGCCTTTACTTCAAACACGATATTGCGATGAATTCTATTGGCTGTCTCTTTTAGCGAATTCAGCTATACATTTCGGTGAGGGTTGGGAAATAGTCATTACCATATTTTCGCTGTTGTAATAGGTGCCAGAGCCATTACATAAGTGCCGGAAGATACAACACAGAATATGAACGCTTTTGGACAATACCTGGTGAGTTTTTTAAATAAAAAATCATACCTTACTCTCCAAGAAGATATATGTAGAAAATTGCAATAAGAATGTTAAAAAATAGCAACGATAAGAGACATACTTATGCTTTCCGTCTTACACTCATCAGAGTAAATCACAAGAATGAAACGAAAGCAAAATTTGATGCTATAGGCGGAACAAAGTGTGATTTACTCCGATGCCTGTCTACCTCTGTTTTCGTTGCTATTCTTCGAAAGAGATGATAGAAAAATAAGTGATATAGTTTTTTTGAAATGTATGCACAGGTAATTCTTGTAATATTTTCCATAGAAATCATGTTCGTATTACATAATACGACATCGTCATGTTCACACATTTCAATAGGTGACTGATCATGCTATTTAAATTGACGTAGGTTGATTTTTCGAAAAAAAAGTTACAATCATGTTTATGACTTTTAGCATCATTGATTTCAAACAGAGTACATTGAAATCTCAATTTTTTTTCACCAGATTTTTCTTATTTTTCACAATTTTTACCTTTGGACAATTAATTGGATTTTTGTTTGATATTTATAGGATAAATAACAGCTGATACATCACAATGGCCGGCAGTGAAAAGCTGCAAAGGGTCACTTACTTCTCGAGATCAATTCTGGTCATAGTTTCCATTCTTACCATGGTAAGTCTACTTTAAAATGTTGTTTTAGTTCAGTTTACTTTCCTATTTCACATTTCACATTTCACATTATCAGTTCTGTTTACAAGAAATATGACAATACAGATGATAATAATGATAGT